GCTTTTCGGGGTTAAAGCGATGCCCTCGTTAAGAGGTTTCTCTACTTGTCGTAACGGCCCCTTAAGATACTTCGGTATCGTCTATATCGTAGGCTCTTATCGTGCCCTCGCTTCGGTTATAGCTATTCGTGCCTAGAGACCACCTTTAATATACCCGAACCTGTTAGATATAAAGAGATAGCCCTACCTTCGGCTCTAATAAAGGACGGAAACTAATACTACTACTACTACTTATAGCAATAGTATAGGCTACCGAGGGTAATATAACCTATAGCAATATAGGCAGCTATGTTTAGCAAGATAGGATAACGAGACTGTCGCTTAGGCTAATAACTAGAGCCCTGCAATATAGGCATTGTAGAAGTGTAACATAAACAATGTGCTATACGAGGTTAGTAATCTGTCTACTCTATAGAAGGAGGCCTCTTATATAGGCTTAAAACTAGCCTATAGGTATAGGGCCGGTTACTAGCTAATAATACCTAGCGCGATAACTAGCTTGTTAGAAGTTGCTAATCGTAGTTTTATTATATATAAAGTCTATAAACAACAACGATAGATATGCTAATCTAATTATTCGTTAGTCTAACCTATAACAAGCTTTATATATATAATATACCTAGGCCGCGGCGGGACTCTATCTAGTAGGATTATTCTCTCGTACGCTAAGTTTAGCTATACGTTCCTCGATAGTAAATGTAAGAAAAAACCTCTACCGCGCGAAAACGCAACTTCGTTTAATGTATAGCCTAAGATCTCGTTATCCGGAACGATACGCTTAATAGAGCTATCGGCGCGGTCTACTAGCGCTTGCGACAACTGCTCCTTAAGAGTAGGCTTCTAAAAGTGTTACTGCGATTAAACGAGTGTTCTTAATATAGGTACGCTAGCTCCTAACTTCTTATACTTGCCGTCCTTCGCCTCTACGAGTAGCTTCTTAGCCGTACTGTGTTTGGCTTTCTTTCTTAGGCTCGTTGCACTCAACTACGCTACGTCTATAGCAGCAATCTAGTTTCTCTTCCTACTTAGATCGTCTATAGTGCTCCCTAACTTTTAAGGTAATTAGTTTGCCTTAAGCAAGATGCCGGCCGTAAGAGATCTTAATACGGGTTCCTACGTTTTAATATAATATAGACGCGGTTAAGACGCGATTACCTCCTAAGGCTTAAGACTTAGCAACAAACATCGAAAACATTTTATACCGATAGAATTCTTATAGTAACATAGACAGCGGTCTCCGAACTACCCTAATAGACCTTCTAAACAACCTACGCCGCGACGATTGGGCTATAAAGCTCCAGATCCTCGCCGAAGACTTCTAGCAATGCCTAGCAAATAACGACAATAGCGAAATTAGCTAACCCGATCTTAACGACTTCGTTAAGCTTATTAAATACGAAGATTACTTTAATCTTATTAAGATAGTTATTCTAGAGCTTCGCTAAGTAGATAAAGACGTTTAAAACTAGTATTAACTCTACGTTCTAAAGGCAATAAGACCTCTACGTATACTAGCCGCCGATCGATAGTTAGTAATATAGAGCTCCTTCGACGACAAGCTATATAAGGAGGAAAAGGAAATATATCTAGAGGCTAAGCTTCATCGAGCTCGGGTATTACTATACTAAACCGGAGCGCTAGACCCTGCTAGTATCGATAAGATTCGAGAGTGGCTTGCAAAGCGTCTAGGAAATCGCAAGACGGAGGATAACGAGGGGTCTTTATAAATATCCGGCGCTAGTGTTAGCTTGCAACTAGCACACCCCTAGTAGCACTTGCAGGGCTACGAAAGCCCACATTTATAGCTTCTTCTAGTATAGAATAGCTATTATCAACCTCGTATAGTATACTGCCTTTGTCCCGTTTCTATAGTGTCTCTACTATAGGGCTCTAGTTACTGTCCTCTACCCCTAGGTCTATTAAGCTATCTACCTAGTACAACTATTTATTCTTAAATAGATTACGTTACGTACGGTAGCTAGCACTACTATAGCCTAGTATTATAGATAATGTAGTTTTCTATCTACTATAAGTACTAACGACGTTTTATCGAGGCAGGCTTTTAGGTTTTAAGTTTAACTTTTAACTAAATAGCGCCTATTTAATTCTAATTGTTTTATTTCGTATTTAGCAAAAAAGCGGCTTCTAGTATATAATACTAGAATAACCCTCCTCTACTAGATATATTCTCTCTATTATTAGCTAGTAACCGGCCCTATACCTATAGGCTAGGCATTAAGCCTATAAAAGAGCCTAAGGCCTCCTTCTATAGTATAGACAGATTACTATTAACCTCGTATAGTATACTGTTTATATTACACTTCTATAGTGCCTATATTATAGGGCTCTAGTTACTAGCCTAAGCGACATGTTTGTTATCCTATCTTACTAAACATAGCTGCCTATATTGTTATAGGTTATATTACCCTCGGTTACCTATACTATTACTACTACTAGTAGTAGTAGTATTAGTTTCCGTCCTTTACTATACTATAGTACTAAGTTTGATTTCTATATTTCTTTTGCTATCTAGTATGCTATAAGCTTATACTTTAGCCTTCTCTAAATCTTTACTAGCACTAGTTAAGCTTAGTTAAATACTATTTTTTAAGTATTTCCCTTAGGCAGCAGGCTCTTACTTGGTTTTCTACTAAGCCTTTTATTACGTTTGTAGTTAGGTTTATAATTAGGTTTGTAATTAGGTTTGTAATTAGGTTTGTAATTAGGTTTGTAATTAGGTTTTATTTCTTATTCTAGCTAGTAGCTACTGCATTTAATAGTTGTTTTAGTACTTATTCTATTAGCTATTCTATTAAATATTCAATTAACTATTCTATTAACTATTCTATTAACTATTCTATTAACTATTCTATTAACTATTCTATTAACTATTCTATTCACTATTCTATTAACTATTCTATTAACCATTCTATTAACTATTCTATTAACTATTCTATTAACTATTCTATTAACCATTCTATTAACCATTCTATTAACCATTCTATTAACTATTCTATTAACTATTCTATTAACTATTCTACTAACTATTCTATTAATTGCTTTATAAAATATTTTTTATAAAATCTTTTTAGCTTGTTTTACAGGTTGTTTTATAGCTTATTTTATGAATTATTTTTTAAATTTAAATTATTTTATAATTTTCGTTTGTTTTGTTTACTTGCTTTTATTTTAATACTTTCCTATAACTATTTTAGTTTTACTAGTTTCGATTTATTAATCTAGGTAGATTGCTTTCGGTTTCTTGCTTTTGTCTTACTAGTATTTTTCTACTATTTTTAGTTTATTTCTTTTTATTTATTTATTTTCTTTAGTATATTTTATGTACTACTATTATTAGTTCTAAAAGAACTATAACTAGTACTAGCGCTAGCTCTAAATTTTTAAAAAATATAAATAGAATATATCTACTAAAATCCTATACTAGAACTTAAATATATTACTAGACAATTTGTTACTTGTATATAGTCGTATATAGTATACTAAGACTAATATATAATTTATAGAGCTATAAGAGGCTTTAGTAGCTAGAAAACTATTAACTAAACTAAAGAATATCTATAAAGATTGCCTATCTCTTCTCTATAGTATTACTAGTAATAAGTATATTTACTAAATTTATTAGAAAAAAGTATACTAGTAGAGAAATAAAAAGTAAAAGAAGGCTACTACTAGGACTCGAGTGTCTATAGATAGTTAGTCCCTTATAGATCTAGTGTATCTATAGATAGTAACTATCTCCCTATAGAGCTAGTAGTAAGAATAGCTGTACTCTAGTTAAGTAAGATAGCGGACGGGGATAATCCTTATAAACGTTAGCTAGCCTAAAAACGTTAGATGTAGACTTTGTAAAGGTGCGGGCGGGACTTTATAAAGGTACGGACAATTCCTTTAGGCAGCACGCTAGCTTTAACTTACTAGATACCGTTTTTAGGGATTACTCCCTTCCGCCATCTTACCTAATTAGGGTATACTACCTATTTGGGCTAAGTCTATAGATTAGTAAAGTTAGTAAGCTAGTATTAGTTTGTACTATACATCAAATACTCTACTATAGTTTATACTATATACTAAATACTCTACTACTATATAGGATATTATTATTACGTTCTGAGTATCCTAGAAAGACCTAGTTAATTACTCTACTTATTAATAGCGGGTATTACCACCAAAAACCAAGTCTAGAAAGAAAAAGCTGCGGTATAGACTTTACGCTATAGGCTAAGCCTATAGGCCGAGCCTATAGGCTACGAGCTTACAGATATAGAGCGAGCTAGACCAAATCGGGCCGAGTCGACTAAGCCGAGCTAAGCCGAGCTAAGCCGAGCCGAGCCGGGCTAGGCTAAGTTACCTAAGTATAGGATTAATAAGAAATGTATTTTATAATACTTTAGCGTACTTTACTATATATAAAGATATAGAGTTATTAGTATATTATAGACGTAAGAAAATATTAGTAAGAACTTAAATTAGATATTATATTTTACTTATACTATACTAGATATCGCCCGATATTTAAATTTCTTACGTTTAACATTTATAAAACCTTATAATAAGATTTAAAATAATACTAAAAATAATCGTATATAGTATAGACTAGTTAGACTAGGCTAAATAAGTATATAAAGCCGGCTAGACTAACTAAAAAGATATAAATAGTATTAAAAATACCGTAATATACGTTTTAATTTATATATATAATATACGTAATATTATTAATATATCGTTAGAATACTATATAGACGTTTTTATTAGTTTTTAGTACTATATATTTATAATAATATTATATTTATTATTTTAAATAAAACTATATAATAAAACGCTAGTATCTCTTATAGTTAATATAGATATAATATAGTACGCTAGTGCCCTAAATATCTCGAGTTAATCGAATTCTCCGTAACTCTTAGCGGCTGATTATAGCGTATATATAGTATTTGACATCTCACGTGACTAACCTTGTCTTATGACCAGTGGTTTTGGGCATTGTGGCCTAATGGTAAGGCGTTGCTTTCCGGTTACGGGAAATGGCAAAGATTGTGGGTTCGAGTCCCATCAGTGGTTAGTTATACTTGACCTTCGAACCTGTCTCCAAAACTAACCTTAGTACAGTCGGTCGACAGATCTTGTTCTTTTGCTTTAGTATTGCTTGTAGAAGGTTGGGCGTTTAGGAAGAGATGTGGTATCATCAGTATGGCTCGGTAGACACATTCTCTTCTTTTGCTTCAGTAGTGCTTGTAGAAGTGTAGGCGTTGAGGAAGAGATATAGTATCATAAGTATAGCTTTGTGCAAGCCGACTTTTTTTCACGCCAAGACTTTACCTGCACCTTCACACCAATCTTTTTGAACTGGACAGCAACGACTAGGAGAACATATGCTCTAATTCTAGAGTGACGAGAATGTGGCATGGTTTGATAGACAGGCCTCATTGATATGAAATTTCAATAATGCCAAGCTTGAAGCCTCGTAGTTCACTCATATCAGGCTCATGATGAGAACTGGGAGGATCCGTACTCCAGCAGATCTAGTAGTATGTGTGGAACGTCCAATTGGAAAGGAAATAGGGGAGGAAATGCTTGATATTGAGTTCACAAGAGACTAAGGAATAGCGTAGCACACAACGTACCTTTTCTCCTCGTTCAGGCTAGAAGGATGGTCCTGTCAAGATGACTCTACTTGTCGCCGGCAAGGGGTTGACGGGAACGCTCGAATCGAAGAGTCAAGTTGTCAACTGAATTCGTGATCAATTCATGCGTGCTGTGATCATGAGTAAATGGATCGGATCAGATCTCGCTCCAGGTCGTGGAGCGTGGTGCTGTTGTGAGACAACGATGCATGGCGAGGCTCCTTCCCAGACCGTGCAAAGAATGCTGGTCCTGACGTGTGATTCGGCGATTTAATCTTTGCAGTCTGGCAGTCCAGGCCAGGAGCAACCACCTCGAGGATCTTCTGGCGTCTTTGGCTCACCAACGTCTGTCGACCACTGGCACAGAAAGAACATTCCTGGCTAAAGTCCATGTTGCACAAAAGCCCAGCCATTCGCACCAGTACGTCAGTCTTTCGCCAGTAGTCGCCATTGTCAACGGTCATGCTGGGTCTTCACGAGATCTTCTCAGCCGGCAGATGCAAAGGTGCCTGTGAAAGCCATGGCGCTTGACCTCGGGCAGCAGTGCCTGAGACCGGATGCGAGCGAGCGCAGATACGCGGGAGCTGGTACCAGTCAGTAGGAACAGTCATCCACCTCCGAGCTGCTACTCCCACCAATACCATAGATTCGCAGGAAGTTGCACGACTCTGGCGTGCCCAATCGGTATGGCAAGGCAAGGCAAGGCCGGATTTCCACCGACAGCTGATGTCTCGGAGACAGCGCGGACAACAGCAGCGTGTGTTCCGGAAGGTACCTATTGTCTTCCACATGCATCCGGAACAGCCTCACATTATTCTGTTTTACTCGAGACACTGCTCAAAGGCCGAGACTCGGCGCAGAACAATGGCGTGGGCTTAATGTGGAAAGCTAGCACCTGCGCCTCCAGATCTGCAGTGTAGGAGCCCTGCACAGCGAACGGGAATAGCAGTGCAATAGACAGGGCTGGACGGAGAGCGAAATGTTGGCTGAGAGAAGATATGGATTTTGGTGTTCACAGTGGTATTATTATTAATGAGAGTCAGCAGTCGCCTCGCCTTTCTTGTTGCAACCGCTGGAAAGGAGAGGTTGCGTCGACACGCGACACGAAACGGGAGAATTCTCCACGTGTCACAGGCAATTTCAACTTCGAGCCGGGAACCTGTCTGGCGGAAGGCTTGGGAATGCGATAGGTTAGGTAGTGTAGCGAAACGTATGCACACATCACACACATCTCATCATCGATCATACTGTACCGACTGTAGCCTGTAGGCAGGAAATTTCGCCGGTGGCAGGCGGCAGATTTCAAGGAGCGCGGGAGTTGTGACTTGCTGCAGATACATATGTAGCAACGGCTGCAGAAAGTGGTGTGTACGTGATGTCCGCATGCGGGCCACGACGGATGGGATGATTGATTGCGGTCTAAAAATGAAATGGCGAGGATCTTGGCCCAACAGTGCCAACACCCACTCCACCAAGTAGAACACAACACACAATGCAGCAGGAGGCAAAGCCGGAGAGCGCCGAGGCAACAGCAGCAGTAATGACGATGATGTGTGCTGGATGGTATGACCGGTAGCGGTACGTAAGACTTGGAATTCCACGATGCTTCGGGGGGCCAGGTGGTGCGGTGTGTGAACAGAGTTTTGGCTTGATGAAAGCATGACCAAAGACATGTCCGCAAACGACGAAGGAAACGCGCCCCCAGCCGGCAATTCTTTCACGAAAAAGCGTGAGTGGTGGGAGTCAATGACGGGGCGAGCGGCGGGCAAGATTGCAAGCAGTTTGTCATCTCATGAGCATCCATCGCATCGCATGGCATGGCATGGCATGGCAGCGCATCCCATCGCGTGATGAATCCACAAAGCCAGCTGTGTCGCTCGGCCGGTGGCGGTGGAGGGAAGAGTCGGAGCGAGGACAGGCTCGCTTTGATGGGCCAGTCGGCGCAATTGATTAAGGCGAGCATTCTATTTGCTGCCACCGGATGTGCAGGAGTACTTTTGCCTAGCCTGGCCGGGTCAGATACCGTAGCCGTCATGCACCTCTCGAGTCTGCGTGTCTGCGTGTCTGCGTGTGTCCGTGGTAAAGACTTCCATTGTGCGCGTCACACATTCCTCTCGCCCGCGATCACAACTCCTGTGGCAGCGGCACCACGAAGCAGGCTGCCCGCCGCGACACCTGGCAAAGGCAGGAAACTGGCGGACAGCTTTTTCGTCCCATCAGTAAATTTCTGCACCAGGAGACGCCGAGCATCACCAAGCGTTGAGCAGCGGCTACTTCCGGCTGTTAATCTTGCGGGCAAGCACGGCGCACAGACAACGGAGCTTGGAACACGGTGGACTTTGCTCGTCGTCAGCAGCAGCGGCCGCCTGTGACCCATCCCATTCCGTCGTCTGCGCTCCGCCTGTTCTTCCACGCTACTACCTCCTTCTCGCCCTCGCCTTCGCCCTCGCCCTCTGTCTGGCCTTCCTTCTCTACACCACCGTGCACTCTGCAGGCAACAGGTGCTCGTAAGAGCCAGGCAGCACGACCGTCGACCAACCTCGCGCCCGCCCCCACCGACCCTCATCACCCGCGACGACGCACTCGTATTTCAGCTTCTTCCCCTTCCGGCCCTCCTGTATTCTAGTCGCTTCTCAGCCACGGTCAAAGCCGCAGCAGCAGCAGCAGCACGCGCATCTCGACTTTTCGCCATCCCATCGACTGCCATACGAGCGGCGACGACGACATCGACATCAGCCTCTCGTCCAGTCTGCCATTTTCTCGCCCGCTTGACAGTCTGAGACCGCGCAGCTTCAGCCTTCCTACACACCGACGCTTGTTTCTCCCGGCACGACACAACCACCGTCACCGACGTACACCGACACTCATTCACTACCACCTGGGCGACCTCTTCACTGAGCACCGTCCGCGCATCCATCTTCGCGCGTCATAATCACCCTCGCCACTCGCGCATACGTCGACACGTCAGCTTCTGACTCCAGTGCGTGAGTCGCAGCATCATTTTGCCAAGATCGACATCACTTCACCAAGTCTCCCGATCTCATTGTGCGCGCGACACCTGAGACATCCTGCGCAATCCACTGTCGCACATCAATCCAACACATCTAGCAACACTTAACATCGGACCTCATCGCATGGTTAAGAGGCAATAAGCTCTGCACCGCTCGCAAAAGGTGCTCGGTCTTTGTCGGTGCGAGTGAAGGACAGGAAACGGTGCGCACATTGTTCACTCCATTTTTCCTTGACATGGAACTTTCCGGACAAAACTGACATCTTCAGGTCGCATCCACGCACCGTTTCTGCGCTTCTGCTGCCTCATTACAACGATGCCAGGCTACTATCAGAGGCCCTTGGCCGGTCAACTACCACTCACTCCCCCAGACTCTGGTTCCGGATACTACAGCAGCATGAATTATTCGCAAGATCCATACCAGCAGCCAGTGAGCCAAAACCGCCACGACAGCGCCTACGATTACCAGCAAGGGTACATGCAGCCAGCAGTCGCACCTGCACCACCGACATACCAGTTTCATCAAGGAGCCTTTCAGCCCACCACGAGCCTGCCGCCGATCCAGAACTTCTACGAGCCCATCGGCGCCCCAATTCTGCCACCGCTGAGAATCAACGACCGTCTATCGTTCACCGATGACTACCAACGACGACTCCAGCAACAAGAACAGCAGAATGCTGCCGCTCGCGAGCAGCAACGTCAAGCCTCCAAGGAGGAAAAGGCAACTGGCGGCGTGTCTGCCAAGCTCGACTACGACATGGAGCGTATGACGGATTTCGTGACTGATGCAACTGCGTCTATGTATGATTACCTCTTCTCCCCCGTCAGCCTGGCTGATATTGACGCTACTCGAAGCTTTCAACACTCGATGCAAAGCCACCCATCCTTCCGCAAGTGGGTGCATCAAGTGCTCTCTGCGACGCGCCTACCCTCCGCCACCATCTTGCTCAGCTTGCACTATCTGAACGACAGACTGTGCAATTTCCCAGACTCGGTCGTTGCCGGCGAGAACCAGATCTACAGACTCCTCGCAGTCTCCCTCATCCTCGGCAGCAAGTTCCTCGACGACAACACATTCATCAACCGATCGTGGTCCGACGTTACCGCTATCAAGGTGGCGGAGCTGAACAAGCTGGAGATGGCGTGGCTCGCTCTCTTCGAATGGCGCCTTCACGTCGATCCACTTGCATCTAACGGCCTGCAGGCTTGGATCGAATCGTGGAAGAAGTATGATGCTGAGTTGTGCGCCAAGCAGCTCGAGCGCCAAGCCCAGCAAGCACAACAGCTTCCTGCTCGACTCTCGCCGCTGGACACTAACGTGCACCGCCATACGACCACGAGTCGCGATCGATTCTCGCCGTACCCGACGCCACACACAGCGACGTCCTCGACTCGTGCGTTTGAGCAGCCATTCTCGGCTCCTTCCACACAATACTCAACACCTTACTCAGCTGCTGACCCTTGGTCTACCAGCTCCCGCCAGGTGGATGACTATTACAAGCGGCCAGCACGCTATGAGTCTTACGCCGAGATTGAGGAAGCGAATCGACGCGCTTCTGAGGAGCGTGCTCGCCAGACTGCCTATCAGTACGGCAATGCCAACCACTCGGCCTACTACCAGACGCCGACCTACTCGACCGGATGGGATCATGGCACTTGGAACACTACCCATCGCTACGATTGCAGCTGTTCGACTTGTGCATACTCTCACCACTATCGACCCTACCCATTGGCGTCCGGCTACACAGCTCAGACTGTCATGGGTTAGGCATCTAAAGAACACTACTGAGCAGTTGTTATGGACGATCGACCTTGAGTCACGCCAATTCTGGGCGTCTTTCTGCGTTCAATACTAGACCACGTCACTTGCAGCGTTCTCTCCACCTCGAAAAGTTTTCTTAAGGACCGGACCTAGATGGAAAGTTACGCTACTTGATTCGACCTGCACAAAGCTTTCTAATAAACTGGTCCTGGCTTTACATTGCTGCATCGACGACGACGACCGAGACTTTGGCTCGGCCAATGGACATCTGCAACGCGTGCTCACCACAGGCGTTCACCTTCAATGCAGAAATCTGCGCTCTACCTTATGCCGGCACAGTCATGAATCATTACGTCTTATGTTCTCGGGCGGCACTACTTTTCTACACTTTTTTCATCATGTTTTTGCGCGCGGCATCACGGATACGGGACTTGGTATACTAGGGGATTTGCTTTTTCACACTGCAATGTTACACTATTACCCGATCGATCACAGCATGGCGTTTAAAATGGGGATCAAGCATCGGGGAATGGAACTTGATTCTGCTAAAATGGGGACATGCGATGGGGAAAGCGAGTTGTTATTGGAGCCTTTGATGTTTGCTTTTCCGTTCATGCATATGATTTTGATTGCCGAGGCGAGATGGATGCACCTGTAGTTGTGCAGGACAGGCCCGGTTGCAGCAATGAGGGAAGGAGAAGAATTGAACACTTGCCCTACACACTGCGGCGGAACAGGTCTCCAGCGCACGGAATAGGTTGCGTCTAGCTTGCGGGCTTTTGAATGCTTGCTTTCGTCCAAAACTTTGGCTTGCTGCGTTTAGATACCACTTCGCATGAGATGATTGCGGGAAGCGGAGGGATCGCAGCGACATCATAACGATCGTTGAGAAATATGGGTTTAAGAAGAGGAAGGTTCAATACCTTCGCCCAAAAACTAGAGGATAGCTTTGATTTTAATGGATGAAATGGATACACCCTTTCGCCGGCCTGGTTTGGCTGGCGATGGGGCTTTCGCTTGGGCGAAACTGCCTTTCTCCCTTCCTGTTTCCTTGGATTGCATGTTCGAAGCGCTCTAGAAACGTGACTATATCGTGGCACGGAAACCGAGACGGCATCGTACTGTGCAGTACCAAAAGTGAGGCTCTGTCACGTGATGTGTACTGAGGCTCGAAATAAGGTTTGAGCAACGGCAAGAGGAAATCGCGCTTTCTCGCCAGCCGCGTCTCGCAAAGCCAAGCACACAGCCCAGCCAGCTCGATTCGCCAAAGCAGTCACTCGCGCATCTTCACAGCCTAGAGCACAGCAACATCGGCACGATGCCCTTCAAAAAGGGAGGTGGCCACCACACGGGTCGCAAGAGCACACGTATCAGCCTCAATGTCACTCGTGAGTCTAACTCTGAAACTGGAATGCGGATTGAGGTGATGCAAGGGAATGCGATTGATGGATTGATGGAAAGCACGCGCTGACACTTCGCTCTTTCCTAGGAACGCCGACACCACGACACGAACCCGAAGAAGAGGACGAAGATCAGACAATGGTAGACGGCGAAGAGGAAATTATTATGGAACAGCCTGATGATGCGGAGGATGAAGACGCAGAGGGAGCTGCAACTCCTGCTGCTGAGGAAGACGATGAGGACGAGGAAGAGCCGACGATCACAACGATACCGAGACGGCGAGCGCGGGGAGGAAGATCGCGTCCGAGTCGGCGCGGCAATGAAGATACGCCTGAGCCTGGCGAGGAAGGTAGCGAAAGCGGGACACCAGCGCGGAGACGGAGAGGGAGGCCTCCGGGTACTGGCACTGGCAGAGCGCGTGGAGGCTTCAGGGGACGAAGGAAAGGCGCGAAAGATGAAGGACCAAAGACAGTGACCGACAAGGATGGGTCAGTCTACGAAGTCTATGAGGACGAAGCGCTGGTTGATCAGGATGACGAAGGTGACGAAAAGGTTGATGAGCTCGGCAATCTACAAGGAGGGCGAGAGTATAGAGTGCGAACTTTCACCATCATGGGCAAGGGCGAACGACTCTACATGTTGTCGACTGAGCCTGCCAGATGTTGTGGCTTCAGAGACAGCTACCTCTTCTTCACGAAACACCCGAAGCTCTTCAAGGTCGTGGTTGGTGAGGAGGAGAAGAAAGATCTCATCGACAGAGATATTCTCCCCAACAGCTACAAAGGTCGGAATATTGGTGTCGTCACGGCAAGATCTGTCTTTCGCGAATTCGGTGCTAGAATCATCGTTGGCGGAAAGAGGGTCATTGACGATTACAAAGTCACCAAAGCACGAGAAGATGGAGTTGTCGAAGGCGAGCTCGCAGACCCAGATGACTACGTCCCGGACAATCGTTCCGAGTACAACCGCAATCGCTACGTTGCTTGGTTTGGAGCAAGTGAAGTTTATCGACAACAAGGTGGTACTGTGCCAAACAAGCAAGGACCTGTCGGGAAGCGAAGGAATAATATTACTTTGCATAACTGGCAGTTCATGCATGCTCGAGAAGCCGGCAGATACAACGCATCCCTCACGGCACTGCGCCACGCGAACAAGGGCGGCGTATATGACGCCAACACGAATATGATGTTCTACCCCAAGATCATGCAACCGACGCATGCGAAGTGGGAATACATCCCTCCTGATGACGAGAGGCCGGCGAAGAGGAGACTTACCAACGGACTGGCGAACGGTGACTTAACAAATGGCCATCACGAAGAAGATCAAGATCCGAACTCGCTCTTCGCTCCACTGCCAGCGGTCATCTCTCGCAATTTCCAGGTCATCGACACGGTCTACACCGCGCCTCCCATCAGCAACGCCGGCTACCCTGGACCTGACGGACACGTGGAAGATCCCACCTCAGGACCAAATGGACTGCAGACCGTTAGCCAAGACCTGATAGACGAGCTACCGGAAGACTGCCGTCGCGCTTTCGAAGAGGCCCGCGCTACAGAGATGCAATGGAAGAAGCAATGGGGTACGGAGGAGCGAGGAATTTTGAAGATAGGCTTTAGTGGGTATCCAGTTTGATGTTATTCGGGCGTTGGGCGAATAGGCGTTCTGCGAGCAAGGCCACACTTGCAGGGGAATGATGTGGTGCCTATCAAAGCATCGTTATGTGGATTCTGGGTCTGATTTTATGGGATTGTGCTTTCGATGGGACTTTTGAGAGTCTCTGTTTTGGAGGGGACTTGAGGTGGGATTATGGAAGCACGATGATGGTTTGATCAGACTCCAGAGTCGGGTATATAGGAGAAGAGAGGATGAGGGAATGAAATTCCGAATAACGCGCGACCGCCCTCTTCGGCGTTTTTCCTTGGGAGATGCAGTGAAGATGGCTTCTTTTGCGTGAGGTACTGACTTCAGCCCGGAAGCGAAGATGCCCAGCAGTCCTTACAAGCGCCCAACTCGCATTCAGACGCTTTCTCACTCTCCGACTTTCAGACCTAATGCACAATCGCAGCAAAAACACGCAATATTTGGAGATAGCCGGTATCGAACCACGCATCCCAACGCCCGTCCTTACGAACGTGTCCAGACACGTTCGTAAGGACGGACGATGTATCTTACCATTGGACCATATCCCCTGATTGGAAGATGGGGTGGAATTTTGTGATCATAAATAAGCTGTATCGCAGGCAAAGAGAAGGGGAGGTGCTCTTGAGGTGGGTTGGTTGGGGTCTTGTTTCACTGGGCTGGTTGGTTTTCTCTGCTAGCAACAACACGGCAGGTACTCCCTCTGCTTAGGTTCAGGCCGTCGTGATGAGGACGCCATCGGATGAGTTAGGATGCAGGGGTCAATTCGA